GTAATACTAATATGCAGTACATAATAATAGAAAATGTATAAATATTTTTAAACATACAAGAAGAATGAAATAGGTGGAAGAAACATGAGAATGTGAGTATATACAGGTCAGTGCCAGTACTACCTTATTCAATGTGCAGGGGTAGCCTACTGGTGTGGTTGGGGTAAGTTTATACATAAAAAGTGACTGGTAGTAGGATATCCATGTAAACAGGACTGAAAAGTGACTGGTAACAGGAATATATAAATACTTATGATAATATACTAATGGCAATATATACATGTAAACAGGAGTAATAGTGACCAATAGCAGGATAAATAGAAAAATAATCATGTTAATGGAAATCAATAATGGTATTAATAATTCTAATCAATAATCATTACAGCGTAGGTGTGAGGGGGTGTGTGCGTGTGGGTGTAAGTGTGTGGCATAAGTAATTAGTGTGTGAGTGAGGGTGTATGTGAGTGTGTGTATGTGAGTGTGTGTGCATGTGCATGTGCATGTGCATGTGAGTAAGAGTGACAGTGAAAGTGTGTGTGTCAGAGTGGGTAGAGACCTGTGGATGGGCATAGAGTCAGTGTGGATAATCTGTGGGAGAGGGAGAGCAGTAGTTGTTAGCCAGTTAACAGTGTTATGGCCAGGGGATAGAAGCTGTTTAGAGTCTGTTGGTCTGAGCCTTGATGCACCGGTACCACCTGTTGGACTAGAGCATGAAGAGCAGTCCATGTCTCGGGTGGCTGGAGTCGGCTCAACCGGAAGATACCTTTAAATGTCAAGAGCGCTATAACACAGATCTACCGCTAATCAGCTTGAATCCCGGCTTTATAACTTTACCCACTGCTAACAGAAGACATACACTACATGACCAAAAGTATGTGGACACCTGCTCGTCGAACATCTCACTTCAAAATCATGGGCATTAATATAGAGTTTGTCTCCCCTTTGCTGCTATAACAGCCTCCACTCTTCTGTGAAGGCTTTCCACTAGATGTTGGAACATTGCTGCGGGGGCTCCCATTCAGCCACAAGATTATTAGTGAGGTCGGGCACTGATGTTGGGCGATTAGGCCTTGCTCACAGTCAGCATTCCAATTAATCCCAAAGGTGTTTGATGGGGTTGAGGTCAGGGCTCTGTGCAGGCCAGTCAAGTTCTTCCACAACAATCTCGACAAACCATTTCTGTATGGACCTCGCTTTGGCACGGGGGCATTGTCATGCTAAAACAGGAAAGGACCTTCCCCAAACTGTTGCCAAAAAATTGGAAGCACAGAATCGTCTAGAATGTCATTGTATGCTGTAGCCTTAAGATTTCACTTCACTGGAACTAAGGGGCCTGAACCATGAAAAACAGCCCCAGACCATTATTCCTCCTCCACCTAACTTTACAGGTGGCGCTATGCATTTGGGCAGGTAGCGTTCTCCTGGCATCCGCCAAACCCAGATTCGTCCGTCAGACTGCCAGATGGTGAAGCATGATTCATCACTCCAGAGAAAGCGTTCCGACTGCTCCAGAGTCCAATGGCGGTGCGCTTTACACCACTCCAGCCGATGCTTGGCATTGCGCATGGTTATCTTAGGCTTGTGTGCGGCTGATCGGCCATGGAAACCCATTTCATGAAGCTCCCAACGAACAGTTCTTGTGCAGACGTTGCTTCCAGAGACCGTTTGGAACTCGGTAGTGAGTGTTGCAACCGAGGACAGATTATTTTTACGCACTACGCGCTTCAGCACTCAGCGGTCCTGTTCTGTGAGCTTGTGTGGCCTACCACTTTGCAGCTGAGCCGTTGTTGCTCCTAGACGTTTCCACTTCACAATAGCAGCACTTACAGTTGACCAGGGCAGCTCTAGCAGGGCAGAAACTTGATGAATTGACTTGTTGGAAAGGTGGCATCCTATGACGGTGCCACGTTGAAAGTCACTGAACTCTTCAGGAAGGCCATTCTACTGCCAATGTTTGTCAATGGAGATTGTATGGCCGTGTGCTTGATTTTATACACCTGTCAGCAAAGGGTTTGGCTGAAAAGCCGAATCCACTAATTTGAAGGAGCGTCCACATACTTTTGTATATATTGTGTTTATCCTTGTCAATAAACAAGGTGATGGTTCAAAAAGCTTTGCAGAAGTGATGATGAGAATTGTCTCCCTCCACCATGTCATGAAAGCTCCGATGCTGCTCATTCCCTCATTCACCCTGATGTGTTGACATGGATGAATTAGGGACCAGATAATTTCAGTGTGAGAAGTAGATCTCTGTGTGTGTGTGTGTGTACAGTATGTGTGTACGTACAGTGCATTCAAAAGGTATTCAGACCCCTTGACTTTTTCCACATTTCGTTACATTACAGCCTTATTCTAAAATTGATTAAATTGTTTTTTCCCCTCATCAATCTACAGCTCTAGGAAGAGTCTTGGTGGTTCCAAACTTCTTCAATTTAAGAATGATGGAGGCCACTGTGTTCTTGGGGATCTTCAGTGCTGCAGACATTTTTTGGGACCCTTTCCCAGATCTCGGAGCTCTACGGACAGTTCTTTCAACCTCATGGCTTGGATTTTGCTCTGACATGCACTGTCAACTGTGGGAACTTATATAAACAGGTGTGTGCCTTTCCAAATCATGTCCAATCAATTGAATTTACTACAGGTGGACTCCAATCAAGTTGTAGAAAGATCTCAAGGATGATCAAAGGAAACAGGATGCACCTGAGCTCAATTTCGAGTCTCATAGCAAAGTGTCTGAATACTTATGTAAATAAGGTATTTTTGTTTTTTATTTTTAATACATTTGCAAAAATGTCTAAAAACCTGTTTTCGCTTTGTCAATATGGGGTATTGTGTGTAGATTGATGAGGGAAAGCATTTATTTAATCAATTTTATAATAAGGCTGTTACGTAACAAAATGTGGAAAAAGGGAAGGGGTATGAATGCTTTCCGAAGGCACTGTATGTGTGCATGCATGTGTTTGCTTATAAGTGTATAACGCAAGCAATAGGGCTATCCAGCAACACTTTATCTCCGGTTCTCTGCGCTCGGGCCCCTCTGCAGTGCATAGCTCCTTCCTGTGCGTGACAGGGGCCTTTTGGTGTGATTTATATGCGTCTGACACACAGGACTCTGGGCCCAACCTCTGCTGTGGAATGACTATTCCATGTGGTGGTGTGGAGGATGGCTCCACCTGGGTGGTGCTAAGTTGACAAGGGTCAGGGCCTGGACTGCTGATCTGGGATCAGTTTTGCCTTTCAGATCATAATGAATAAGAATATTATGTAACAGGGGGACCTGATTCTAGATCAGCTTTGAGTACTGGCCCTGATGTGACTGTATACTCTGAATTTTCAGAGATCCATTGGATCATGCCCTTGCCCTCTTCAATGGTAGCTATTACCACTATGGGACTATGTGAAGGCGAACAACACGTACAGGTCTTTCTATCCATTATCTAATTGCACTCACACCTTTGTTCATTTCACAACAACCTGTGTGGGATTAGATTTGTATGTGATTGGTATTTTTAGGTAATATAAGTGATTTCAGAATTTTGTTAAGGTCAAACACATAAAATGTAGTCTGCTATGGTTGATTTGGAGTTTCACAAATGCAGGTAGATTTTGAGAAATTGCTGAAATTTGATTATACTGAATAAAGTCTACTATTCTTTATGATATATGGCCATAGGTTTCTCAAAGGAGAGTGACCCTTACAGTAGTGGGAAGATGATTACAAAGAGTACAAGAAAAATATTGACTTCAAGCACTGAGGGCACAACATAGAAAAGTATACAAACTTCAACGCCCACCACATTCTGAAGAGAGGTTGTGGCGGGTAGAACTATGAGCAAAGACCAATTAAAAATAATGAATATATCTGTTTTCAAAGCTGTTGTTGAATTTAATGGAATATAATATATAGGCCTATATGTGTTGTTGTTGTTTTTAGACAATGGGGCCGATTTCTATGGTAGCACAGCCTATAAAATAATATATCCCTACCTTGGTAGGCCTAACCATCAACTGACATTGAATGTTGTTGTTTCAATATGTATTATTGTTGTAGGCTATATGTAACTGCTGATATATGATTATGAATATTTGCGCAATAATGACGTCCGTCGCGCACCCCCCTTCAAGTTCTCGCGCTCGCAAAGCCTCGGCTGTTTAAATGGGCCAAGTTGAGAAGCCGCAGAGAGTGGAAATCTTGTTTGGTCTGGGTCTATGAACTTCAGCGTGACTTTTAACGATATAGCCTACACAGGGTTAAAAAAAACAACTATTTCAAAAGTCCTATCAGCTGAATTTGTTCCATGCAAATACTTTTAAATATCTTGAAAAATAGGGAAGTTTGCAATGCTCAGATAGCCATAGGCTATAGTTTTATGGCATATGGCAGAATGTAGCAAAGTAGCCTACACTTGCATCTTTCTGTACTATTTCTAATACATCAAACAAGACGTTATATAGCCTAGTATTGTTTATTATTCAAGTAGAGACAGTATTGCGTAATACCAGCATATTGGAAGGCACAATGACTGTAAACCTGTTAATTGCAATAAATAAAGGCAGTTAAAATAAGAGAGACCAACATCATAACAATAGGCCTACTGTTTAGAAAATACTAAACTGAAGAGACACGTTGGGAAGTGTCAATGATCCTTGTGGATAACGTGATGTCCATGGCTAAGGTATGGCCACTCCAACGTGTCAGGTATTAGTAGCGCAAGTCCGATTAAATGTGGTACGCAGGAGCACGGCGAGAACTGTCATGCAAGTGGTGAGTGGTGGAGTGTGGTGGCGGAGAGCGCGGCGACTACAGAGACCTGGAAACTAGTGAATGGCAATCTGTCGGGGAAGTTCAACAGACCGCTGTCACGGAGCGACACAGGAGCCCTGCGTAAAACAAATTGGCGCGTCTTCAAGTCTGGGGCGGCTGACCAACTCCGAAAAGAGGACACACAAGTTCGGAGGAGCTGCTAATCACTTGTTACCGGCGCTTTGCTCCCAGTAACATGCCTGCCATCAAAAAGGAGAGACTGGATGGGGACGTACTGGCATTGGCTGCCTTCAACCAGTCCGAATACCTGGCCCCTTTAAATGCCACCGCTATCACTGTGGTGACCCCACCGCAGTACGACCATATTTTCGCCCATCACCGCGTGTACTTGGGGCTCCACGACACGGCACTGCATCACCAGCACCTTCACCATCACCCGGACGACTTAACGCTGGAGAGGTTTTCCTCCATCCCCGACTTTCAGCCGTTTTTTGAGAACGGGGAACCATGCATCGAGGTGGAATGCGGGGAGAACAAGGCTTTACTATACATTAACAAACTGTGCCAAGGTAGTAAGGGACCCTCAATCAAATACCGGGGCGAGTGGCTCACCCCGAATGAGTTCCAGTTTGTCAGTGGAAGGGAGACCGCCAAAGATTGGAAACGAAGTATAAGGCACAAAGGTAGGCAACAGCAAACATTATGTCTACATTTTTTAAAAGTATGTTCATTTTGAGAACCATACCCAATTTAAGGTTTTTGTCATTGTTTGGTGAGTGGAAATCGGTTTCCCTGGTTTGGTTCTGCGTTTCGTAGTTAAAGGGTTACTCAGCAGTACACCAACTACAGTGCGTAAGAAGGGAGATGAGAAAAGGCACATACCCTCGCTGTATCTTCACAGGCAGCGACCATTCTCATAACGGGGAGTCAGGAGTCGTGGACTAAGGTGAAAACCGTTAATATTTGGGTACAGAATTCTTTAAATATAGTATGGCAGTTAATAGACGTTGTGGGTATCATTCCGTTGAGTGTTGGGTATATCAGCAGGCTAAGTGGGTGTTGACACCTCAAAAGACCAGAATGATGTTGGAGACAGGGAACAGCATTATTTTACTTGAAGTTCTAGGCTATTCCTTACTCTTTTGGTTATTTCGGGGAGCTTATGGTTGCGATGCAACTATCCAAAATAATGATGTTATTAGTTTGCTACTATTTTGGTTTGAAAAGTTATACATTGGCTCAGACAAAACAAACGTATCAGAAGATGTTTGTGAATTGATTTAGTATTAGAACAATGAATATTATTGACTAACTTTGGGCCTATTTTAATAATTACGCGTTATTGCGATGACCGCGTGCGCACTTGTTTTTGAACCCCACCTCACCCCAAGTTCTGTTGGGGGAGGGTGTTGCCCTGAAGTAATAAAATATAGGCTGATAATGGAATGTCTCATATCTGAGATTAGATACAATGACAGTAGCCTACTGTCTATGGATCTTACCACACGGGGCTCAACTAGAACTCATCAGTGAAACTAGGTAATTTAGTTAGAAAAACTTGCAATTCCAAATGTAATGTTTATGTTTTAGTTTTGGATTCGTGATTATTTAACAATTATCCACATTTTGTGTTGCACAAACTGTTTTATTCATGTTTATGTGTAGACTCTGATAACACAGTCTTATGTTTACTATACAAATATATAGGCCTATTTAAGGCTATTGAAGATCCTGTCATGTGTAATCACCTCGATGTGTGTAGGTTATTACATGTAATTGATTTAAAGTTGCTGATATCAATGGGTGCTGTATAAGTATGGTTTATTTCTTTATTATAACTATCTCTCTCTCTCTCTCTCTCTCTCTCTCTCTCTCTCTCTCTCTCTCTCTCTCTCTCTCTCTCTCTCTCTCTCTCTCTCTCTCTCTCTCTCTCTCCCTCTCTCTCTCTCAGGGAAAAGTTTAAAGACCCTTATGTCCAAAGGAATCTTACAGGTACATCCTCCAATCTGTGATTGCCCTGGGTGTCGAATTTCGTCTCCAGTGGTAAGATTATGGTTCCATCAGCATTTAAATTCTTACATCTGTTTTTCTTGATTTATCATTGGTTTCAAAAGTGTATGTTGCCTTGCTGATTCCAATTGGCTGTGTTGACGACTGGGCTAAACGTTTTATTTTAATTGAAGACACAGAGTAAGCAGCATTGGTATTTTTTAAGCAATCTGCCTTTAGTGACATAATTTATTCAGAATAATATTGGTCTTGAATGCTCAATGCTTGGGTGATGAGTCCTGATAGTTTCATATGATATATTCCCAAACAGTGCCTTCAGAAAGTATTCATACCCCTTGACTTATTCCACATTTTGTTGTGTTAAAGCCTTTATTCAAAATTGATTAAATTGATTTTTTTCTCTCACCCATCTACACCCAATACCCCATAATGACAAAGTGAAAACATGGGTTTTGACATTTTTGCAAATTTATTGAAAATGAAATACAGAAATATCTCATTTAAATAAGTATTCACACCCCTGAGTCAATACATGTTAGAATCACCTTTGGCAGCGATTACAGCTGTGAGTCTTTCTGGGTAAGTCTCTAAGAACGTTGCACACCTGGATTGTACAATTTTTGCACATTATTATTTTTGAATTCTTCAAGCTCTGTCAAGTTGGTTGTTGATCATTGCTAGACAGCCATTTTCAAGTCTTGCCATAGATTCTCAAGCCGATTTAAGTCAAAACTGTAACTTAGACACTCAGGAACATTCAATGTCGTCTTAGTAAGCAACTCCAGTGTATATTTGACCTTGTATTTTAGGTTATTGTCCTGCTAAACTGTGAATTTGTCTCCCAGTGTCTGGTGGAAAGCAGACTGAACCAAGTTTTCCTCTAGGATTTTGCCTGTGCTTAGCTCATCCATTTGCATATTTTAATACAATATTTCAGAAGAATTGTAATACAAAAAAGTATTACATGTGTGTTTACATTCAACTGGTAGAAGTTGATTGGGATATTATTAAGGGGGAAAATTACCATATGTGGTGTGTGGTGCTTGGCCTTAAGTTTTTGTTCTGCCGGTTGAGTATGCACTTCTTTATGTCATTATTCACAGATATATACACGGCATTGAAATCAACACTGGCTCAAACCACAAAATTAAGCCGAGTTTGAATGGCACAATTCTAGGCAAAGTTAATAAGTAATATGAATGGGTGACTAGTCAGGCTCCCTTTGCTAGATTGATCTCATTCTCATGGCTCTTCTGTCCATTGCTGCTGTTCCTCTCCTAGCTGTTTCACTGGGCTGTGTTTGCCATGCCGTGCCCGTTTGGCTGAGCTAATGGCATTATGCCAAGCAGGCTGTGAGGCGTCACAGGTGTGGTGTCTGTGCCAGTGTGCTAGCTTTGAGCGAGCACGTCACTGGCTCACCGTTGCAGACTCACCGTCGCCGGCTCACTGTCGCCGAATCTGTTCACACAGGTGTGCCGTGTGTGTGTTTTCTATCACTACGGAGTGCATCTGTCATCGCTCCCAAGCGCTAATCTTGAGGGCGTAAGAGGCTTAGCGAGCTACTGAGTGTGGCTACTGCTGATTTTTGTGTGTGATGCATGCAAGGCAAAGGTGGTTTAGATAAGCTGGTGTTTGAGTGATATAGGTAAACTGGTGACGTTTTTCACAGCCAAGAATACAGATATTCGCTACAACCACATATAGTTAATGGAAAATGATTTGCAAATGGAATGCATTGGCTAAAAAGAGAGTTTGTGGAGAATATAGAAGTAGATTCGTTTTTGGGGGGAATTTAACATATCATTTTCAGATATGGATATTAGGTCATGGGTATACTGAAGTTATAGCATAGTGGTTTCACTCTGTAGACTAAATGAATGATACTGCAGCTAAACAGCGGCACAATCAATATTGTCGGGTTGTCTGAAAATTGTCTCTCTTTAAAGAAAATGTACGTAATTTCTACTGACAGTAAATTAACAGTCATAGAGTGACATGACTCAAGTAACTTGCCAGGAGGAGTTGCCTTTCTGAGTCCTGACACAAAAGCCTATTGTAATCGTCCTGTTTACAGCAGTGTGCACACCTCTTTGTTGTCAGTGCCTGTTGTTTGCTTAGTCAGAAATGGCAGGCTTTTCTCTACAGACGTGCTTGTCTGATGACTTGTGATGGTTGGTGATATTCTATCTATTGTTTATGAGCAGTGCGGGTTCCTGTGAATTGTTTTCACAAACCAAGGCTGGGATTTCAACAAATCTGAAATTACTGCCAAATAACACATTGTAGGCCTACATGTATCTCACATCTTATCATCTTATGTATGTCATCCTTGGCACAGCAGAAGGTAATACATTGTAGACAGCCTCCTGTTTGGCATTCAAGTAGCTGAAAGTGGCACAGGTTGAAAAGCCATGATAATGTTGTATGACAGTATGTTACCATTGTGCTGAATGTGTCCAAACCTATAGTTTTCCCCAGTTTCACTTTCACTCTCTCTCTCTCTCTCTCTCTCTCTCTCTCTCTCTCTCTCTCTCTCTCTCTCTCTCTCTCTCTCTCTCTCTCTCGCTCTCTCTCTCTCTCTCTCTCTCTCTCTCTCTCTCTCTCTCTCTCTCTCTCTCTCTCTCTCTCTCTCTCTCGGGAGGTAGAGCTACAGAGGCTACCCTAGTGAATAACAAACACAAACAGCACAGCACAGAGAGTCGGCAGGTTCACGAGAGGCGTGGAGGAGAATGGCAGGCAGCGGGGCTTGTCTCGTCTGTCTTGGCATCTTCCTCCCCCGTGCCGCCCGCCGGCGAATGGCACACACTAGCACTCTCGCTGTGATGATCTCACACACATGCACGCGCACGCACACCACATTAATACAGAGCTACTGTACATATTCACCCTGTAACAATTGAGCAACATAACATTTAGAGCCATTTTCAGTGTTTTGTGTTATGCTCTACTATACTAGGCCTATAGTACAGTATACTGTTTAGTATGCTGTTTTGCTATCAGTTACTGTCACCATTGGGATATATACAACATGACACAAAAGTGTGTGTTGATAAAGTAATAATGCCAGAGAAGCCGGTGTTTGGAGGATATATAGCTACTGGTGTTGTTAGGCCCGAGACAAAGTCGAGGGCGGGCAAACCGTGCCAATACATCCTCCAAATACTGGCTTCGAGGGCATTATCACTTTTATACAACGGGTTACCAACATATTCAAATAATGATTGACATACACTACCGGTCAACATTTTTAGAACACCTACTCATTCAAGGGGTTTTCTTTATTTTGTACTATGTTCTACATTGTAGAATAATAGAGAAGACATCAAAACTATGAAATAACACATATGGAATCATGTAGTAACCAAAAAAGTGTTAAACAAATCAAAATATATTTTATATTTGAGATTCTTCAAATAGCCACCCTTTGCCTTTATGACAGCTTTGCACACTGCCTTGATGACAGCTTTGCACACTCTTGGCATTCTCTCAACCAGCTTCACCTGGAATGCTTTTCCAACAGTCTTGAAGGAGTTCCCACATATGCTGAGCACTTGTTGGCTGCTTTTCCTTCCCTCTGAGGTCTGACTCATCCCAAACATCTCAATTTGGTTGAGGTCGGGGGATTGTGGAGGCCAGGTCATCTGATTCAGCACTCCATCCCTCTCCTTCTTGGTAAAATAGCCTTTACACAGCCTGGAGGTGTGTTGGGTCATTGTCCTGTTGAAAAACAAATGATAGTCCCACTAAGCCCAAACCAGATGGGATGGCGTATCGCTGCAGAATGCTGTGGTAGCCATGCTGGTTAAGTGTGCCTTGAATTCTAAATAAATCAAAGACAGTGTCACCAGCAAAGCAGCCCCACACCATAACACCTCCTCCTCCATGCTTTACAGTGGGAAATGCACATGCAGAGATCATCCGTTCACCCACACCGCGTCTCACAAAGACACAGCGGTTTGAACCAAAAATCTCCAATTTGGAATACAGACCAAAGGACATATTCCCACCGGTCTAATGTCCATTGCTTGTGTTTCTTGGCCCAAATAAGTCTCTTCTTCTTATTGGTGTCCTTTAGTAATGGTTTCTTTGCAGCAATTCGACCATGAAGGCCTGATTCTTCTCTGAACAGTTGATGTTGAGATGTGTCTGTTACTTGAACTCTGTGAAGCATTTATTTGGGCTGCAATTTCTGAACTTATCCTCTGCAGCAGAGGTAACTCTGGGTCTTCCATTCCTGTGGCGGTCCTCATGAGAGCCAGTTTCATCATAGCGCTTGATGGTTTTTGCGACAGCACTTGAAAAAACTTTCAAAGTTCTTGAAATGTTCCATATTGACTGACCTTCATGTCTTAAAGTAATGATGGACTGTCGTTTCTCTTTGCTTATTTGAGCTGTTCTTGCCATAATATGGACTTGGTCTTTTACCAAATAGTGCTATCTTCTGTATACCCCCCCCCCCCCCCCACCTTGTCACAACACAACTGATTAGCTCAAACACATTAAGAAGGAAAGAAATTCCACAAATTAACTTTTAAGGAGACACACCTGTTGATTGAAATGCATTCCAGGTGACTACCTCATGAAGCTGGTTGAGAGAATGCCAAGAGTGTGCGAAGTTGTCATCAAGGCAAAGGGTGGCTATTTAAAGAATCTCAAATATAAAATTTGGTTACATGATTCCTTATGTGTTATTTCATATGGTCGTTCGTTCTATCGGTTCGGTTGCTAGAGACGCGACCCAGTCGTTCAGTCTTTATGTTCTGTATCTATGGACGCCACCCAGTCGGTCATTCTAAATGTTCCATTGCCATACTGGCTGGCAATGTTCTTATCCCTTGCTTGCTAGCTAGCTAACTATGGCTAACTTACAGTCACGTCAAAAAGTGCAGCCAGAATAACAGCAAAGTAGCTGCACTTGCATTTGTTGAAGCTGTTTTCTACAGACATTTATTTGGATATATCAATAACAATGAGCTAATGAGGCACGATTTCGCCTGGCATAGAAAATGTGCTCACTCCTCAGGACACTGTGTTGTTCAGAGGAGCTAGCCAACAACACCGCTAACACAATCACTTCAAACTGAAGCTGGAAAGACAGCGAACTCGCTGCACTTCGTTTCGTTTTACCTTTTTCAATTTACATTTCTTTGTATATATCCATAAAAATGATGCCAGCTGATTCATGATTTCGACTGGCTGAGAAACGCTGCCTGCCTGTCTGTCTGTCTCGTCCTGACTCCTGGCACATCCATTACTATGGGACAGCTGGAGATCGATTTTGAATATTGAAACAATGTTGCAAATGTCGGAGAGACAGACAGCGAGGTTTATCCAAATTTCTGCTGATGAAAACAAAATGTTAGTCTAAAAGAAATGTGAGATAATGTCTGGATGCTTTTTATAGTAGAGATCAAGTTTATAAATTGCTTGGCTGAGCTGATGAGACAGTGGATTGCGCATTCAGATGGAACTATGTAAATAGGCATTTTAACTTAATAGATTTAGCCGGTGGTAACTTGTGGAATAGACACCAGCTGGAATGAGCTTTTAACCAATCAGCATTCAGGATTAGACCCACTCGTTGTATAATTGACAAATGTCTGGTTTGTCTGCTTGTATTTGATATACTGAGGTTGTACTGTTGAGGTATGACATACATGAATAAAATAGAACATGTTAATAAAGCCATGTTTGCTCGTGGCTCCTGTGTTTAACTGCTCTGTAGACGTGTGCTCTTCATGCTCCGGTGTGTGTGGTCACTGTTTGAGAGAGGGGTAAGTGGTGTGTGTGTGTGTGTGTGTGTGTGTGCTCCAGGGAGAACCGGGATTTCTGCGCTCTGTTATTCCAGCGGAACTGGCGGAGGCCGGGAGGAAATTACACTCTTCACCTCCGGCTTGTAAAGCGTTCCTCCAATCAGGGGCCTCCCCCTCTCCTGCATCCTGACCACATAGAGAGAAAGAACAACACACACACGCACACATACACACACATATACGCACTCACATACATACAGTGCTTTCAGAAAGTATTCATACCCCTTGACCTATTCCACATTTTGTTGTGGTATAGCCTGAATTCAAAATGGATTCAATGGATTTTTGTATCTCACCCATCTACCCACAATACCCCATAATGACAAAGTGAAAACATGTTTTTAGAAATTTTAGCAAATTTATTGAAAATGAAATATAGAAATATATAATTTACATAAGTATTCACACTCCTGAGTCAACACTTTGTAGAAGCACCTTTGGCAGCGATTACAGCTGTGAGTCTTTCTGGGTAAGTCTCTAAGAGATTTCCACACCTGGATTGTGCCACATTTGCCCATTATTCTTTTCATAATTCTTCAAGCTCTGTCAAATTGGTTGTTGATCATTGCAAGACAACCATTTTCAGGTCTTGCCATAGATTTTCAAGTAGATTTAAGTCAAAACTATAACTCGGCCATTCAGGAACATTCACTGTCTTTTTGGTAAGCAACTCCAGTGTAGATTTGGCCTTGTGTTTCAGGTTATTGTACTGCTGAAAGGTGAATTCATCTCCCAGTGTCAGGTGGAAAGCAGACTGAACCAGGTTTTCCTCTAGGATTTTGCCAGTCCTTAACCATTACAAGCATACCCATAACATGATACAACCACCACTACACTTGAAAATATGGAGAGTGGTACTCAGTAATGTGTTGTATTGGATTTGCCCCAAACATAACACTTATAATTAGGACAAAAATGTAATCGCTTTGCCACATTCTTTGCAGTATTACTTTAGTGCCTTGTGTTGCAAACATGATGCATGTTTTGGAATATTTTTCATTTTTTCACTCTTGTCAATTAGGTTAGTATTGTGGAGTAACTACAATGTTGTTGATCCATCCTCCGTTTTCTCCTATCACAGCCATAAACTCTAACTGTTTTAAAGTCACCATTGGCCTCATAGTGAAATCCCTGAGCGGTTTCCTTCCTCTCCGGCAACTGAGTTAGGAAGAACACCTGTATCTTTGTAGTGACTGGGTGCGTTGATATACCATCCAAGGTGTAATTATTAACTTCACCATGCTCTAAGGGATATTCAATGTCTGCTTTTATTTGTATTTTTACCCATCTACCAATAGGTGCCCTTCTTTGCAAGGTATTGGAAAACCTCCCTGTTCTTTGTGTTTTTTAAAAGTTTTTTTTATTTTTTTTGTCATTTAGCAGACGCTCTTATCCAGAGCGACTTACAGTTAGTGCATACATTATTAAAAAAAAAAAAATTCATACCCCATGTGGGAATCGAACCCACAACCCTGGCGTTGCTAACGCCATGCTCTATCAACTGAGCTACATCCCTGCCGGCCATTCCCTCCCCTACCCTGGACGACGCTGGGCCAATTGCGCGCCGCCCCATGGGTCTCCCGGTCACGGCCGGCTACGACAGAGCCTGGATTCGAACCAGGATCTCTAGTGGCACAGCTAGCACTGCGATGCAGTGCCTTAGACCACTGCGCCACTCGGCATCCCCTCGGTTGAATCTGTGTTTGAAATTCACTGATCGACTGAGGGACCTTACAGATAATTGTATGTGTGGGGTACAGAGATGAGGTAGTCATTCAAAAATCATGTTAAATACAGATGCACGCACAAACGCTAGCAAACACACACACACACACACACACACACACACACACACACACACATACACACACACACACACACCTCCATGTTAGGGGAGATTACTCTTTGTTATTATTATTATTATTATTATTATTATTATTATTATTATTATTATTATAGCCTGTACATCCCTGCCTTTGAATATATTTGACCTCCAACCACAGTCATTTTAGGGTCGTTGAAACTAAAAGAACCATAGGTTACCATTTCAAAATCAGATTTATTGTGTGATTTTCATGTATATTTCAATGTGTTGCACATTGTAACCCAGTGTGACACTGCTAAGCCATAGAAGTAGACATTCATTTGATATATGGACTAGAGTCAGTGGTTATTAGGGCGTGATCCATATTAGTGCCTTTCTTATATATAAGACAGGAAGAACAGGAAGTTACCGGTACAATACCAATATAAGTTGCTGTAGATATTGTACAGAGCAGGGCCATGTTCAGTTGCAAAACGTTCTCAAACGTTGCAGATAGAAATTCCATGAAGAGAGCCGACGTGATTTCTTATTCTATGTTGGAGAGGCATGTTTGTTCTAAATAGCATATTTATATCTGAACGTTCCAAAACGTTGCGTCCTGCTGAACGCACCCTTGGTTAGTGATTTGATATGGCCATTTGTTGGGGACTTGCTATTGGCTGAGTGCCACTGTGATGCTGGGGATAAGCAGGACTGACGCCTCTGTGTTTCTGAACAGCTCACTCCCCGCAGGGAGTTGGAGTGTGTGTGTGTGTGCGCATGCGTATGCACAAATGTGTGTATGTCTTTTCGTGAGTGTGTTTGTGCTGTAGGTGTGCAATGTGTGTGGGTCTCTCTGTGTGTCCCACATGGCACTAAGGCTATGCTACCATGGCAACCACAGTATCCATCTTTAGGGCAGGAGCGATGCATGGTTCGGGACTCTAGTGTGTTTCTTAGTCAATTGGCCAAATTAGAGAATAACTGAGTCTCTAATGATTTGCATATCCACTAGGGGTCTTGCAATTTGGGTAGCCATAGTTTTAGCAATCAATACTAAAAGTGCAACTTATTGGCAGGGTTACACATACTGTAACACACTCCCTCCCTCTGTCTCACACACACAAACACACAGGCACGCACGCACGCGCGCACACACAAACACAAGCGCGCACACATACACTCAACATAGCCACTTTATATATCAATGAATAATTCCATCTGCAATGATCCATTAAGCCAGTGAATTAGCCATTAGCCAGTGTTAGCCTGCACTCTCAGTAAGAGGCTAGATGACAGGACCAGAGATTGACAGGGAGAGTGAAGTCTCTGGCCTCGATCAGAGCCCCTATATACCTTGCCTTTCTCCTGTCTCCTGTGTGTGTGCATGTGTGTGTGTTTTTGGGTGGGACTGATGGAGTAAGCTAAATAAGGTGGACTGCTCGTCTATCAGTTGTTTGCAGCTGATGATGACAAAGCCAGCAGAGATATTTATGGAACTTCTCTCTCCTCCCAGTATGTGAACAGACGTCTGACCTCATATGATAGCAGAGTGTTCGAGTGGTCTCGTCCTCTTTCTGTGGGGCCTCTTCACTGACGCTACACTCTTAGAAAAAAGGGTTCTAAAAGGGTTCTTCATCTGTCCCCATAGGAGAACCCTTTTTTGGTTCCAGGTAGAACTCTTTTGGGTACCATGTAGAACCCTCTGGGGAAAGGGTCCTACATGGAACCCAATAGGGTTCTACCTGGAACCAAAATGGGTTCATCAAATGGTTCTCCTATGGGGACACCCGAAGAGCCCTTTTAGGTTCTAGTTAACACTTTGTTTTCTAAGAGTGTAGTCACTCAACTCAGTGTTTCACACATGCCACGGTATGCAGAGTAGTGTGATTGAATGAAAGATATATGCTATAATGCTATAAATACAGGTTTGCGTAATTTGTTTGTATACAAAAATCTATCTGTAATTATTTTCAGACATTGGGGCGGATATAAAGCCTTCTCAGACGTATATTTTCGTTTTATTCTGCAAAACTCAACCTTGCTGCACTCAGCTTTCTCTCTATCTCCCTTAGACACCCCCTCCCTGCCTCTCCCCCGCTCTGTTTTTGTCTGGGGAGAGAATGGCAGAGTCGTTACCTGTCTAAAGCTCTCGCACGGCTGCCTTGGCGGGCCTATCCAAACACAAGATAGAGGCGAGAGAGAGAGAGGCGCTGGCACACCTGGCTGCACCGCCACTAACCTCCCACCACCGCCCCTGCTCCCCCTCACCGCCTCTCGCCCTCCCATACCCCTTTCCCTCCCTCCGCTCGTCCCTCGCCCTGACCACTGGGCCGCAACTGCCCGTTCGTGTTGGGGGCGAGGGGTGGGGGCAGAGAGGGGAGAGGGAGGACGGTGTGTGTGTGTCTGTGTGTGTGTGTGTGTGTGTGTGTGTGAGGGAGGTGGCGGGGGGAGGGGGGAGGGGGGGCGTTTGGTTGCATGCCTGTCCTTCCCATAGTGCTTTCTCCCCCCCAAAAAATAATATTCTGGCCATGAAAAACCAAGTGTTGCCTTGCCACTACATACCCCCCTCCACAAACACACAGACACACACTTTTATCACAGTCTTTTCCACTATTAAATATAGTCCGTGACTAAGCATTTATATATGTGCCATGTGTACAATATGGTGAAAAGGAGGTTGTATGATTTGTGGGAGGGGTTGTATGATTTGAAATGTGTCCCTAATGTAACTTCTAAAGTCTGTAATGTACTTTCAGAATTGTAGCTTACTTTATTTATAGAAATGTCAGTGTCTTGGTGGGTGAGTGGGTGAGTAAGACATAGTGGAGGTCAGCATAAACAAAAAAAGGAGTTAAGTGCACACAAACACGTTTGTTTAGCTCTTTTTTTCACTGGACCTATGTGAATGTGGCAATGACGGTACTTTTTTCCTCTCCCTCCTCCCTCCTCCTCTCTCCCTCAACCCCCCTGTTGTCTCCTAACTACCCCTCCCCCTCTGCCAGTCCTCACGCCAAGTCCCCCCTCATACCGCCTCCGCACACACACACACGCTGAGAGGTAACGGCAGACAGGCGCGTGACTCATTAGGCATTCATCCCCCAGGGAGAACGCTGGGGGGGCGCGTGCGAGAGAGAGAGACCGCCGCAGCTGCAGGAATGTCGCGGGCGGCTACCGCTGTGTGTGCGCATGCTGGTTTGAGCCAGTGGCAGGGTACAGCACCTTTTAGGAAATAAGGCAGGGAGAAAAAACACATGAATAGACTTTTCCACAGAGGCTTCATTTAAGGTCTGGAATAAGCTTAGTAAAGAAATGTGTCTTCAATAAAATACAATATTACTGTTTGCCAGTATTGTTTGGCATTAAATATAAGCCTGTGGTTTTGATAAAACACTAACAACAACAACAGGATCTTTCTGTAGTTTTAAAACAATTATATTATTTTATGAATGTATAGAGCCAATGCTACTAAAGTTACTGGTGTCTGTGTGTGTGGTACGGCGGTGGATAGCCGACGCCAGCATGGAGTTAAACACACACTTTGGTCGGATAAGTGGTTTTAGTGAAATGCAAAAGCTTTTTGGGAAGAATTCCAGCCACAGGTCTTGTATAGTATACTCCTACTTTGTTGAAGTCTAAACCTGTGTGTGTGTGTTTGTCTGTCTGTGTGCACACAAATGTGTGTGTGTTGTTTGTGTGTGATGTGAAATACAGATATATTTATTGGCTGGCCGTCAGACAGAATGTGTAGGAGGGGATATTCATAAAGGTGCTTTTAGTGGATCGTTTATGAAATACTTTTTTCCATTGCTGACAGAGGGTTGACCACACAGTAAGGCTGCCTTTAGTGTGTGTGTGTACTTAAAATAACAAAATGGAGTTGTTTCAACTAATTATTCCACAGCCTTTTTTTATTGTTTACTCAACTTTTCGGTCCTAGTGATACTTGAACTAAAACAAAATAGTTGCCACAAAAAACAGCCAAAAATTCAGTCAACTTAAAACTATGTGTTTGCTCAACTTGTCTCATATGTTTATTCAACAAAAAAATATTATTTGGGCATCTAAAAAAGGCCATGGAACTAGTTACACACAGTGCTTTTAACATACAATGTTTTCAACCTACATATTTGACACACATGATTACATTGTAATGGCATGTTCATTTGTACAGTAATTATTATTCAACATGTTCTCACCTGGGATTTGAACTCACAACCTCTTGGTTCACAGCATTCCAATCTTCCTGCTATGCCACCATGTCTGGTGGAAGAACATATGAGACAATTTGAGCAAACACATCATTTTAAGTTGACTGAATTTTTACGTTGGAGCTAAGTTTGGGCCAACACGTTTTTTTCAGTTTAGGTAACACTTCGAGTGAAAAGTTGAGTAAACAAAAAAAGGCTATGGAACCAGTTACTTAATAATAATTAGTTGAAACAACTAGATATTTTTTACAGTGTGTTTGTGTGTGTTTACATATATGTTTATACATGTGTGTATTTAATACTACTTCTCCTGTTGATGTGTGTGTGTTTGTGTGTGTTTATTATGATTGTGTCTTTTTTACACTCCTACGTGGACTGCCAGGGGTGTGTTTTGTTTCATGTTTTGTTTTAGAGAGCCCTCCTCTGCGCTGTGGAAGTGTTGCCGGAAACAGTGGGAGCCCACCCCCAGTTCTGCGTCAGTGCTGCTAAAGAAAGGATAGGGGTTTTCCGGGGCTGGTGGCCTGGGTATGTCAGGGCCATGTGGGTGGTTGTCTACACACAAAGCCACAATCTATGTGCTTCTTCCTAGGCAGAATATTCCAGTGGACCAGCACACAATGCTTGTCTGCTAAGTAAAAACCCTCTTTACATGCAGGGGAATTCTTCAGGAACAGGTGTGGTGTGTGTGTCCATGAACAGGTGTGTATGTGTGTTTGAGAGAGTGTGTGAGTTCACAAGGCAGGTGTGTGTGTGTATGCGTGTGTACGTATATGACAGGTGTGTGTCTGTCTTATACAGAGAGAGAGAGAGAGAGAGAGAGAGAGAGAGAGAGAGGAGAGAGAGGGGGGAGCAGCTGATAGAGAGGAGAGAAGGAGGAGAGAGAGAGAGAGGAGAGAGAGAGAGAGAGGAGAGGAGAGAGAGGAGAGAGAGGAGAGAGAGAGAGAGAGAGAGAGAGAGAGGAGAGAGAGAGAGAGAGAGAGAGAGAGAGAGAGAGAGGAGAGAGAGAGAGAGAATACTCCATACCTCTAGTCCAAGTAGCTAAGTCAGAGGGAGTCGAGCGGGAATAGCAGAGAAGTCCTCCACTGTCCTCACACAGTTGAGAAGAACTTATACAAAGGTACTGCTTTCCACAGATCTGCCTGTGGAAAGAAGAAAAGAAAAACCCTCTTTCGGTAAGACAGAAAAATAGATTTATTTTGCAGAACTATGTGGCCCTGCTCATCCTGAGGGATGTTTTCATCTTTATCCTCTTTTCCCCCCTCCCTCATTTTAATGTCTGCCACTTGAGAGCCTCCAGAGGGGTTGCACCTGTTTGCCTCTTGGCTAGGCGCCCCTGCCCCAGCCTGCCACTCATGTCTTCGCCCCTTGTGGGATGGAGGGAGGAGAGAGGGGGGGGGGGGGGGGGGGTTGTGTGTGGTAGAAGGGATAGCTGGAGGGCTCAGAGGCATCCGGGAGAGTAGAGTGGAGATGTAGGCACTGAGAGAGCGAGAGGGAGGGAGGGAGAAAAAAAGAGCGACAGAGAGAGAGAGAGAGGGCGGGGATAGAGAGAGAGAGAGCGTTTCAAAGTTATGTCCACTCTGTGTTTATCTGTATTGCTTTTTCTCCTTTTTCTCCTTTTACTCAAATTAAATTCTCTCTTTCTTTCCTCCTCTTCTGTTTCTCTCCCCCATTTCCTCCAATTCTCCCTCTGCCTCTCTCTCTCTTCTCCCCCCCCCCCCCCCCCCATATTTATCTCTATAGAGCCGTGTTAATCTGCAGTGACCTCTTCAGGTCACATTAAAGGTCACCCAGCTTCACTCCCATAACCCCTTAGGGCCACAATCCTCCTTTCTTTTCCCTTTCGCTCCGCTCATTAGAGCTTTGTGGCCCAAAAGCAGTGAACACTCCAACCATAATCATTTCCTGTCCTCCCTTTATATGACCCCCTTATCACTTAGGATTCTGGCTATGGTAAACAATGGTTGTTTAGGCGATCCCCCTATCATGATTTCTGTGGTAAATTTGATAAGTATGTTTGTATGGAGGTATAATGTCAATTGAAACCTATATTGTGTTATTACTCACATCCATAGTTAATAACTATATCATATAGTTGGCCTATATACTTGTCAGCGGTGTCTCAGCCAGGACATGAAGCCTATTCTTCAGGAAAAGCATATGATTTTGGAGAGTAGTTTTTTTCCTGTGTTTCCTGAATGGAGTCTATCCTACTTTTAGTCAGTTGAGCACATTTCAGTGGGCTTGTGCAGTAGTAATGGCTTGCTTTTTCAAGCACATTGCGAGGACCATTGATCACACTTGTCAGGTTTCCCATTTCTAATACCAAAAGATAGTTTTGGTGTGGTGTTTTCCTTTAAAATAGTACATTTATCCCTTTTTTAGGTTTTTTTGGTAGTTTGTTTCATGAATAGCCTCCATATTTGTACTTAATAATAATCATAATTTTATTTGTATGTTCCGGTCATACAAATGACTAATTCAGCTGTTATGTTCAACTATGGAGATTGAGCCCATGTGGTACTTTTTATGTTCTTAGTATTGCCTCTGAATAATGCTAAATGCTGTTTCGAAAAAGTGATGTATTGTAGAACAAATGAATCTCATATAATGATCACTCCTAATATAAATGTATGCTATTGCTTCCGTGACAGCAGCAGCATTGATTTCTGTGTATGACTGATGTGGAATATTATGGTGGTCACTGCACACCAAGTCAGATGTTTAGAGTGGAAGAGTGCTTAGAACGCTAGCTACTAGCATGTTAGCACATGCTTATTGTTAGCATATTAAGCACATGCTTAGTATTAGCATGCTAGCATGTGCTTAGTGTTAGCATGTTTATCTGTGGATGGATATTGACCTCATTCCGTCAGTAGAGGATGCCTGGATGTTCTTCAAAAGTGCTTTCCTCTCCATCTTAAATAAGCATGCCCCATTCAAAAAATTCAGAACTAAGAACAGATATAGCCCCTGGTTCACCCCAGACTTGACTGCCCTTGACCAGCACAAAAACATCCTGTGGCATACTGCATTAGCATCGAACAGCCCCCGCGATATGCAACTTTTCAGGGAAGTCTGGAACCAATATACACAATCAGTTAGGAAAGCAAAGGCTAGCTTTTTCAAACAGAAATTTGCATCCTGTAGCACTAACTCCAAAAAGTTTTGAGACACTGTAAAGTCCATGGAGAATAAGAGCACCTTCTCCCAGCTACCCACTGCACTGAGGCTAGGAAACACTGTCACCACCGATAAATCTACGATAATCAAGAATTTCAATAAGCCTAAACGATATAATAAGCCTAAACGAAGTCCTAAACGATATAATAACCGCGATCGATAAAAGACAGTACTGTGCAGCCGTCTTCATCGACCTGGCCAAGGCTTTTGACTCTGTCAATCACCGCATTCTTATTGGCAGACTAAATAGCCTTGGTTTCTCAAATGACTGCCTCGCCTGGTTCAATGTGTCAAATCGGAGGGCCTGTTGTCTGGACCTCTGGCAGTCTCTATGGGGGTGCCACAGGGTTCAATTCTCGGGCCGACTCTATTCTCTGTGTATATCAATGATGTCGCTCTTGCTGCTGGTGACTCTCAGATCCACCTCTATGCAGACGACACCATTTTGTATACATCTGGCCCTTCATGGACACTGTGTTAACAAACCTCCAAACGAGCTTCAATGCCATACAACACTCCTTCCGTGGCCTCCAACTGCTCTTAAACGCTAGTAAAACTAAATGCATGCTCTTCAATCGAACGTTGCTTGAACCCGCCCGCCCGACTAGAATCACTACTCTCGGCGGGTCTGACTTAGAATATGTGGACACCTACAAATACCTAGGTGTCTGGTTAGACCGTAAACTCTCCTTCCACACTCACATTAAGCATCTCCAATCCAAAGTTAAATCTAGAATCAGCTTCCTATTTCGCAACAAAGCCTCCTTCACTCATGCTGCTAAACATGCCCTCGTAAAACTGACTATCCTACCGATCCTTGACTTCGGCGATGTCATTTACAAAATAGCTTCCAACACTCTACTCAGCAAATTGGATGTAGTCTATCACACTGCCATCCGTTTTGTCACCAAAGCCACATATACTACCCACCATTGTGACCTGTACGCTCTCGTTGGCTGGCCCTCACTACATATTCGTCGCCAAACCCACTGGCTCCAGGTCATCTATAAATCACTGCTAGGCAAATCCTCGCCTTATCTTAGCTCATTGGTCACCATAGCAACACCCACCCGTAGTATGCGTTCCAGCAGGTATATCTCACTGGTCATCCCCAAAGCCAACACCTCCTTTGGCCGCCATTCCTTCCAGTTCTCTGCTGCAAATGACTGGAACGAACTGAAAAAATCTCTGAAGCTGGAGACACTTATCTCCCTCACTAACTTTAAGCATCAGTTGTCAGAGCAGCTTACCGATCACTGCACCTGTACACAGCCCATCTGTAATTAGCCCACCCAACTACCTCATCCCCATATTGTTATTTACATTGTTATTTATTTTGCTCATTTGCACCCCAGTATCTCTATTTGCACATCATCTTCTGCACATCTATCACTCCAGTGTTAATACTAAATTGTAATTATTTTGCACTATGGCCTATTTATTGCCTTACCTCGATAACTTACTACATTTGCACACACTGTATATAGATTTTCTATTGTGTTATTGACTGTACGTTTTTGTTTATTCCATATGTAACTCTGTGTTGTTGTTGTTTTTATCGCACTGCTTTGCTTTATCTTGGCCAGGTCGCAGTTGTAAATGAGAATGTGTTCTCAACTGGCTTACCTGGTTAAATAAAGGTGAAATAAAAATAAATAAATAAATAAAAATGATCACATCCTTAATGTTAGCATGTTAGCACGTGCATGCTGTTAGCATGTTAGCATCAAACTGGAGAACAGGCATTTCTAAGAGCTTCTCACCTTTTTCTGTAGAACCGCGGGCGTTTGGCAGAGAAGCGCACCATCCCCCTGCCCCCCAACCGTGTGCCCAAGAGGGAGCTCTCCTCCGTCTTTAGCAGTGACGACAGCGAGGGCAGCGACCGCGCCAGCGGAGACCATGCCCACATCAAGCAGGAGGATGAGCTGCATTACAGTATCATAAGAAAGAGGTAAGGTCTGGAAGAACTCCTGTGTCGGAATGATATTGGGATATACAAAACTCATCACCTATGATCTGTCCATACCCATTCCCAACCTGTCTCAGTTCATTGCTTTAAGGTGTGTAGAAGTGTACAAGCTCTGTGCTTACAGAAAGTTTTGTGTTGGCATGTAAGACATTTGTGTTTTCTTGCTTGTCTTTCTTGCTCATTCTACAGTGCAATGTTTGAGTCACTGAAACACTTCCCACCGCTGTGCAGTATTTTGGTCTTCATAGAGTTGAATATGCTTAATAACCCTTTATAATACTAATAATGCTCTACAGTACAGGATAAAGTGAGTGCAATAAAATAACTGACGTGCTCCTAATATTGATTTGCACCCCCCATTTGCCATCAGAACAGCCTCAATTCATTGGGGGCATGGACTCTACAAGGTGTGGAAAGCGTTCCAGAGGTGTTCCTAATGTTATGTACACTCAGTGCATATAAATGGCCACATGATAAGCCAAAACCCCAGAAATAACTAAACAACCAGCCCCTTCTGATGGAGATGGTGTGGCATTTTACATGACAACGGTTAGGGTAAAGGAGGGCTTGAAGAAAGGGAAAAACAGCATGGAGGCAGAAACAAGCTCTGATGCATTAGCTACCGCTTATGAGAGCATGATGTTGTTTTGCTGCTGCTGCTGTTGTCAGTATTGTCCATATACAGTATGAGAAAAATACTGTAAAAAAAAAAAAATACTATCAAGCCGTCTCTTCTAACACTACTTTTGCCGAAAAGCTATAAGACTGAATACCATTGCCATAAACTGTGTTTCAGACATCAGTACCTCAGCAAGCTTCAGACAATAGTCAGAAAGTCATCTCAAACAGACGTTATGGGTAGTTTCACCTCAGTGGGGATTTTTCCTGGCGCCAAAGCTGTACATCACTCTCATTTCAACTCATGCCAGGACTGGGTAGAAAATGAGCAGATAATCCAGTCTGTCACAGTACGCCAGTTGTGCTGTTGCACTAGTTTCTCAGCGTTTGGAATAATCTCAATAATCTCATACATACAGTGCCTTGCAAAAGTATTCATCCCCCTTGGTGTTTTTCCTATTTTGTTGCATTAAAATCTGTAATTTAAATATATTTTTATTTGGATTTCATGTAATGGACATACACAAAATAGTCCAAATTGGTGAAGTGAAATGAAAAAAATAACTTGCTTCAAAAAATTCTAAAAAATAAATAACGGAAAAGTGGTGCGTGCATATGTATTCACCCCCTTTGCTATGAAGCCCCTAAATAAGATCTGCCGCAAACCCAACACCTCTCATCACCCCGAGAACACCAATTGAAGGAATGATGGATGGCGCTAAATACAGGGAAATTCACCTTCCAGCAGGACAATGACACTAAGCATACTGCTAAAGCAACACTTAGTGTTTTAAGAGTAAACATTTAGATGTCTTGGAATGGCCTAGTCAAAGCCCAGACCTCAATCCAATTGAGAATCTGTGGTATGACTTAAAGTTTGCTGTACACCAGCAGAACCCATCCAACTTGAAGGAGCTGGAGCAGTTTTGCCTTGAAGAATGGGCAAAAATCCCAGTGGTTAGATGTGCCAAGCTTATAGAGACATACCCCAAGAGACTTGCAGCTGTAATTGCTGCTAAAGGTGGCTCTACAAAGTATTGACTTGGGAGGTGGGGGGGGGGGTGAATAGTTAAGCACGCTCAAGTATTCTGTTTTTTTGTCTTATTTCTTGTTTGTTTCACACGAAAAAATATTTTGCATCTTCAAAGTGGTAGGCATGTTGTGTAAATCAAATGATACAAACCCCCCCAAAATCCATTTTCATTCCAGGTTGTAAGGCAACAAAATAGGAAAAATGGGGGGTGAATACTTTCGCAAGCCACAGCAATAGGGAAATAAAAATAGTGACGAAGTCACAGCTATTATTTTTTTGATCCTTTATTTTATGTTTAATTTCAGAAAATAGGCGGTAGGGATTGGTAGTAGTATTGTTGTTATTAGTATTGTTTGGTATTGGTGACAGTAGTACAGTAGGAAAATGTTGGTGGTTATTGGCATCTGGCTACAATATTTGTGTAATGAAATTGATATCATATTCCTTGTGTTACAAATTACTATTTACTGTATATAAGAAAATCTTGATGTATTTGCATTAGGTGAAATAAGATTTGAAGAAAAAATGATATATTTTTGGATGCAACTGTTTCAATCTCAAAATGACAGATAATACATTGAAGCACGTTGTTGTGAATGTGGATCAAAGACCAACAATTTACTTTTCAAAGCTGAAATGTTCCTTAGTTGTGGGTGGGGGAGTAGTTACGAGCCTAATATTGGGTAATGGTGGATGGTGTTTAGCGGTTACATTAAAGTTGGGTTGTCATCGCACACTGTAGGGCACTCACTCAAATTCACGCACATGCACACCCACTCGCCCATCCACACAGACAGAGACATATATACACACACAATCACACACATGCAGGTTCGTGGTTGTGGTCACCCCATTAAGATTAACCAAATGTAGTGGAGTAATATTTTATATATACACATATTATATACACCTCACCTGCAACTCATAATAAGACTATGCAATGAATATGTTAACAAAGTATATTAAATTAATTATCTGACTCCATAAAGATCATTTAGAAATATACAAGAGACTATAGCTGAGTTACAGTAATAGAAAGGTCAAGAAAGAATTAAGTAATGTCTATATGTATGTATATGTATTTATGTGTATATGTATGTGTATGTATGTATATGTATATGTATATGTGAGAAGAAAAAAAAAACATACGGGGGATTGGAAGTGATGCAGACAATTACATTGATGGAAGTTACAATCTATCTGCAATATTAAAGTTGATCTAACCCCCCCCCCCCCCTTTTTTTTTTATCTATATCAAAAGCAAATATTTAATTAACATTGTAAAATGAAGGGATTCACAAACATTTCAGTCATTTAGCAGACACTCTTATCCAGAGCAAATAGGGTTAAGTGCCTTGCTCAAGGGCACATAGACAGATTTTTCACCTAGTCGGCTTGGGGATTCAAACCAGCAACATTTCGGTTACTGGCCCAACATGCTTAACTGCTAGGCTACCTGCCGCCCTGCACAATACATAAGCTTAAATTACAAAGCATTACTAGGCCTGATCAGAGAGGGAGAGAGAGAGAGAATTCATAGTTCCTGAGGAGGAGAGAGAGAAAGAAGGAGAGAGAGAAAGAAAGAGAGAGAGTATATGTGACCGACCGGCTCAATCCGGTCCTATGTAGCAAAATTTGAAATGGTGTTTTTTACATTGGATAAAAGTAGAGACAGAACTAGAAAATGGTATATCATACACTGCAGTTGAGGAACAAGGGGAAAGTAATTCTGCTTTGAAAGTTGATAAACTTGTAACCCCACTTTTGAGAAAATGGCTCTTGAATGTTTTGGTACACCAACTGGAGAGCTCTTCTTTGTCTACACCCATTCAGCATCGTTCACACCCTCTAAAGCCTTAGCCCCACCCATCTCTTTAAGGATTCACATGTGAGGCCATGTGCTAAACAGAGTAAGGTGGTGTAGTAAACAACCAAAGATTTCAAGACTAAAAGGGGTGAAAGTAGTCAGCCACATCTAGCTAAGTGGATGGGTCACTATTGTCTAGACATGTACACATGTTCATGAAATACAATAGATCGTAATTACCCCTAGACACACTGGATAACTTGATGGGTCATGTAATCATCTAGTGAAGTGGAGTCTTTTGTTTTCGATCTAGTGGAGTCTTTTGTTTAGCTAGCTAAACAATGAACCTAATGGTGCTTTCAAGACGACTGGGAACTTGGAGGAATATGAGGTCAAATCATATGACGTCAGTGATCTTCAGGTTGGAAAGTCGGGGCTCTAGAAAAAGGCCTGAGTTCCCGAGTTGGAATTCCGAGTTGGAGGACCGTTCAAAACTATTTTTCCCAATCAGAGTTCTTTTTTTGTATGCACTGAAGTTGGAAGTCGGAGATTTCTGAGTTCCCAGTTGTTTTGAATGCGGCAATAATCCCAACCCATACTACTAGCAATATAAACTGATTGTCATGGCTAGCCACCATGCATGTTAGCACGTTAGCTAGCTAGCGAGCCAGCCAGCTAATGTTAGCTAGTTAGCTAACAGTATGCTTTATCTTGCAATGAAAACTACTTTCTGACAAAATTAGAAACGTATAATATCTGAAAATGTAGCTAGCTAGACTATCTTACCCGTATACATGGATGAACGCTTCTCTCTCTCTGTCACAGATGCCATGGTTGCCCTTAGTTTGAAGATGTAATCCGGAGACAGGTGTTTTATACAACAGCCTTCTGTGTGTTCTCTTTTCGACTGCATATTTGCAATCGAATTCCAGAATTTTCTCCATCTCTTTAGCTATCATACTCTGCTTCCACCGGGCATTCCACTGGGTCAACTTCTTCCGTGACAACAACACTGTTGATCGCCGTTTCAGAAGACTCTACAATGTCTGGTTCAATGAAAATATATTTTTACCTAAATCAGGGATTTTCTCAATGTCTGATTCATTATCAGAGTCAGAGAGAATCAGCATGGCACAATCATCCTCCAGAAAGTGGAGAACAGTAGCAACACTTTTGCAGTTCTTCATATCTTTCAAAAAAGCTGTGGTAGAAAGGACTACCTACACATACTGAGCAGCTCATGTTATAGACAGAAGCATGCTACATGGCATACCAATCCGAACTAATCTCTCAGCATGGCCAGCCCATCCATTATCTCAGCCAATAATGTCTAGCGGGAAGCTTCCTGTCTTTTTCCGTGGCTAAACCAACTACGCTCTTAATTTAACAATTTTTAAAAAAGAACTCTGATTGGGAAAAATAGTTTTGAACGGTCCTCCAACTCGGAATTCCAACTCGGGAACTCAGGCCTTTTTCTAGAGCCCCGACTTTCCAACCTGAAGATCACTGACGTCATATGATTTGACCTCATATTCCTCCAAGTTCCCAGTCGTCTTGAAAGCACCATTAGGTTCATTGTTTAGCTAGCTAAACAAAAGACTCCACTAGATCGAAAACAAAAGACTCCACTTCACTAGATGATTACATGACCCATTAAGTTATCCAGTGTGTCTGGGGGTGATTACGATCTATTGTATTTCATGAACATGTGTACATGTCTAGACAATAGTGACCCATCCACTTAGCTAGATGTGGCTGACTACTTTCACCCCTTTTAGTCTTGAAATCTTTGGTTGTTTACTACACCACCTTACTCTGTTTACAATTTTATTTGTATGTACAGATGGCATACAAGTTTGTTATTAAGGAACATGAAAGTTCACATTTTAAAAAATGCATTTTGATTTAAAAAATGCCTCTCCTGTGAAGTAGTGACGTGCAACATACGCCTATTTTCCTGAAACGGCTCACATATCTCACCAGCACAGGTCATGAACAAAAGAGAAAGAGACTTCGCTCTGATGACATACTCCACTTTTGTGTGTGCTATGCTAGTCAAATAGAATCAAAGGAATTGGGAATAGAAATCTCCCCAAATCCTGTTTTTAACTTTTATCCATGTAAAATGTGTGTGTGTGTGTTTTTTTTGTGCATGCAAATATGAGGAACACGAATAGATAAGTATCGTTCTGTTGTCAGCCAAGCTTGTCAGAAATGTCAATAGTATCTGCTCGTTAACTTCCTCAATGAAACTAATTTTAACGCTCACTGCATGAGAAGCGACTTGTGCAATCTCATTGAAGGAGAGGATGTTGCCGTTGCTGCCTTCTCGAGACTGGTGTGTGACATGGAGGACAGCACGGCAACTGTAAAGCTTTACATGGATCCACTAACCTCATTAAAGAGGCTTATTTCCCCCCCTGACACATGCGCCGCTCGCGTGGTAAGATGATAATGAATTTAAAGAACACTTATGACTAATATGTCAGGCTTTTACCCTTTAAAAGGCGGCGGACTCGCTGGAGCCACAGCTCCGATCTGTCCCGGGCATCCGTCTCGACCCTACTTTACTCCAAATGCAATGGGTCTGAGCAAAAGGGATAATGGGATGTCCAATTAAGGAAATCTGATTTCTATTGACCACAGACCCAGTAAGTGAGTCGTAGAGGGGTCTTAACAAATTGGATTTGGTCAATGGATGGTGAAAAATACAGGATGCTGTACATTCGTGTGATTGTGGGGCCCCGTGTAGCTCAGTTGGTAGAGCATGGCGCTTGCAACGCCAGGGTTGTGGGTTCGATTCCCACGGGGGGCCAGTATGAAATTGTTTTATGCACTCACTAACTGTAAGTCACTCTGGATAAGAGTGTCTGCTAAATGACTAAAATAAAAATGTAAAATTGTGTCTGTTCTCTACCTCACACATCATCAGGATTCTCGCTAGCATTGTGTCACATCACACTTGGTTACATCCTGCAACATATTCAATTGAGATAATTATACTATGTCATTCTCATCCTGATGCAGAAAATACCTGATTAAATTTAAAAACATTGTGGTATGGTCCACTTGTGCATCAATTTAGGGTTTCATGAGGAGTTTACTGTTTTTGTGAGCTCAACTCCCTTGCCCCAAGTTGCTTCTTCAAGGTTAAAATAATATTCAAGTGTAATACCTTCGACCTATAGATCATTTAACGTTCATTCATATTTTCCCTTTCAAAATAAATATAATATTTGGAACAATCAGATATTGACCTAGCACTTTTTAAATGGTTTGGATGTTACCGCTTGGACGTGCTATAACACATAGGAATAGGCTCTTGGATCAGGCTAAGGTACTGTGGCTACATAGTAACAGGATTTCCTAGTTGTCAGAAAGGTCTTCGGAGGTGTTGTCATCCTTGAAGAGGACTTGTCAAGTTCATTAGAGAGCTCTATATCTTTTAACCGGATTAATGTTAATGGCCATCGGCTTTATGGGTGATTAGTTAAGTAGGCCCACCAGAACAGTGCGGAGAACTGTGCATCGTTCCTGCTGAGTAAGCAAAGAGTGCCCGTGCCACTTTGGAACCCACACGATGATTAATGGTCCGACCCATTGCCACATCTGGAACAAAAGTTAAAGCTCTTCGATGTATGGGTTAGTCCCTCTCTCCCTTAACTCAAACTGCAAAGACACAACCAGGGAATAGGGAGAAGGCTAGATCCTGATCAGAAAACAAATACCATAGAAACAGAAACTTCCAATAAAGCAAGACAAAGGTATTTGATGATGAGTCAGATATTCAATAGTTTGTGGCTTGCAAGTGTATTGAGGCAATCGGTAAGAGAAATGTATGGAATTCGTTGCTAAATATTTGACAGTGGTAGCTTAGGTGTCTTATACTCAAGGGAAAAACAAAGCCTACCTGAGTGTTGTTTGAGTTGGACGTCATGTAGATAATAAGGCTTTGATTCCAAAATGCTGATAGAGAGGGTTATATAAATTCCACCTGCTGATGTTGGGCTTTTAAGTGGCACCCTCTGGAGAAAAAAGCCACACAACACATACGTTTATAACCCTGGAAATCTCACTAAGTCGTGCATTTATGTCATGTTTTTCTATTTCATATACACAACAATTCAATTCTTCCTATTTCAAAAGCAAAATGTTTCCCACATTACTTATTGAAGGGAAAAGAGCAGTATTATTTGTGTAGTATAAACGTCTAAGTAGATTACATGGGAGGAAATGGGAGGAGGGAGGTTGTCATGAGGGTGGTGGTGGCAGGCCCTTCCGCAGAGGGACAAAGAGAGAGAGGTAACTGTGTAAAGCTGCCATACCCATTTCCACCAGGCATAGCCTTCCGCGAACCGCCGGATGCTAACATAGCCACCACAACATTGCGCTGTGACTCTGTGTAGGTGGCAGAGCTAACTTTTCATGTGCAAGGTGCTAGAGGCTGAACCCAGGGGGAGTGCCAACTTGCACAACCTCTACTAGCATAATAATACCTGACAAGGCTCTATCAATGCTGGTATGTACTGGAGTAGAATTTATGAGCTGCGTAAATTGGCATTTTGTCTTTTGTCAGTTTTTAGTACTGTAGAAATAGAACATGTAATTGTTGTAAATTTTGTTTATGTAGATGCAACAGTAATGCTCGCTAAGGGAAAAATCTCAGTTCCGCAGAGATAAAGTTTGTTGGAGGTAGCACTCCTTAAAACCAGTAGGTAAGACTGAAAGATGTGTGTTTACAGTTGTGTAGTGGAAGAATGGGTAGATATAGGTATGAGCCCTATACTCAGTTATAGCATTGTCTTAGAATTGTCCAGACAGTTTTCTTAAGTTTAATTTTTTATTCCAAGAATAGAGGTTGGCCTGTGTCTGTTCCTCTCCTTATAGACAGCTATTTGCTCCTAAAACAACAGCTATAAATATTATAATAGTACTGTATTGTTCGTGTTGACATTTTATTGTGTATGACATACCTACAGCTAACAAATGCTTAGGGTTAACCTTTCTCTTACTCCTTTGAGATCTCCTCTTATGGTGTTCTTGGTGAATTGTGTCTAAGGTTAAAGCCAGCAAGGGGACATTATGGCAACAGAGGAATTCCTGGAAAGGGCTTTTACCCAAAGCACTAATTAGTGAACATAAAGTTTTTTCAAGCTTTCTGGAGAAAGGCTGAAGACTTATTTGCGCCTTTCACACCACTTCTCCATGGCAACAGGGTTCCAACAATCCAATGACAGATTAGGAGATGCTTGTAGCAAGAACCGAGTTTTCCACACATGGAAGTTGAGTATTTGTCTTCTTACTGCGCTTGCTGTGTGGAGGGGCAAACAAAAGATGCTCAGGAGTCACTGTCTCTCCATTTAAACATATGGAGGGTTGTACCTTAAACAGGGGGCTGTTCAAAAACGCTGTTTGATTATGTACTATAGGAAACCTACCCTCGTGCCTTTTTTAGAGTTTAAGTCCTAAAGAATCTTGTTCTCTTTTGAATCTCTGTCCCTGTTTTGAAGAATTGTTTAATTGAATCCCAAATTATCATGGTCATTGGACTCATTCATTTACTTTGTAAAGCGTAATATCGCCTCTGCACAAAGCGACAACTCACTGAGACAATAGTTAACATTAGATAATAGATCATAACAGAAACAACATCTGAGATCACATAGGACCTTTGGGAGAATATTTGGTTTGATCAATGATTCAACATACCTCTACTTCAATAAACACTGAGATTAGATTCAGACACCATTTTCTGGCTCAGTTTAGCCTAGGTAGAAAACCATACCAAGCCTCCACATGGCAGAATATTTTATTTCATTGTACTTTCCTTTCTCTCTGCAGCCTTATCGACCCCACATCAGCTTCTGTAAGGAACAACAGGTAAAGCCCAAGAGATATCCTGGCCTGTTGTTATTTATTTATGTATATATTTCTGGATTTATTTATGACTCCCTCTTCTTGCTCTGTCCCAGTTGCAGGCTGTCTTTCCATCCAAACGTGAGCGGTATACGAACACAAGTCTTTGTCTGAAAACAAAACAAAACATACAATTTGTGGTAATCTATGTTATTACATTAAGCCTACATTTCTTTCACATTATTTATTAATTTTTCTCAACAAAATGTCTTACTTACTTACATCCAGAGTCCTGTTTTAACTCTCCCTTTGTATTGGCATGAGCCTATATCACACGGTAATATTTGAAAGTGAGTCAGGGCAGACTTGAGTAAGGGCTGTGGATCACCTGCAGTTGCAGGTTGGAACTGGCTGTGTGGTCTGTTTGTTGTCTTGAGGAGGAGGGAGAGTGCTGCAGTAGCAGCATACCTGCAGGCAGCAGCTGTTCCAAGCAGGCTGTCTTCTCTCCGGGTGTGTCCCAAATGGCACCCTATTCTCTATATGTTGCATTACCATTGACTAGAAGGGCACTGGTCAAAAGTAGTGTACTATATAGGGAATACAGGGCTATTTGGGATGCAAACTCCCTCTCTCTACACCTGCGTGACAACTCCTCTGCCCCACCATGGCAGCTGCGCGCGTCCCCCCCCTCCCCGTACACCTGTCTGTGAATGCAGTCTCATTCGTGGTGTCAGACATGGCATCGGGGTGCCCAGACTGCCAACCCGTGCCAGCCAGTGCCAGCTCACACTATGCCCTCCAGCTTTGTCACCTCGGCTCCTCTTTGCCAATGTCACAGCGTGGCACCGTGGGGTCACCCGCCGCTATTCTGGTCCCATGCCAGGAGAATATGCTTTTCATGGCATTTGGAGAGTGTGAGTAGTGTCTCCTGTAGTAATGTAAGAGCAGCAGCTGCCAAGTTCCAGTAACTTTCCCAGTGAGCCTTTTCTGTGGGAGCTATTTTCTGTTTGGGTCCTGCTGTAGTTCATGAGTTTTATAACAGCTTATGAGTTATTATTAACACTTATAGTCAGTGTTATAACACATTATAAGTCATTATAAAGGACGTTATAGAGCATTATACGTACTACATAGAAAGTGTTATCGGGAGTTTGGTAATCTGTCTTTTCTCTTTGACTAGTTCCCGAAAAGAAAATGTCTCAATATTATACAGATTTACAACGGATTTTTGAGAAAATATACTTGGCATGAATAAATTATTATAATATCCGGGTTTCCATCCAACCTTTTTATGCAATTAAATTACGTTGGATAAAAAATGTCATGATGGAAAGAACATTTTTCGGTAAACTTTCCAAATGTCGACAAAACTAAATACGCTAGACAAGGTGGGATCTATTTGTGTCGGTAAACTGAATTCTGCGAGAAAATGTCGGTGGGAAAGCTTTTATGCGCAAATATTGATATAATAACCATCATATCGAAGTAAACTTGGAGTCACGTGATGACATGTTGTGTGGTCCTCCCACTACAACTTGTCGGGAAAGCATGCAGTTTATTAGGCTACAGATTAAATACATTATGATGAACTTCACAGGGTGCTGAAAGTGCAAGGTGATGAGCTTGATGCTCCTTTCCAATAAATATTGAGGGTCTTATTCTGATGACATAATATGCTTGGCTGCCATTTGACAAATACAAATATGTAGGCTATTCATGCACTCTAGCCAACAGCGCGCAGATAGCACTGTTGGCTAGAGCGCACATGCCAATACCAGAGTGGGGACACTTGCTAAATAATGCAAAAAATATGTGAGAAAACCATCAGTAGAGTTGAAAATGCAATGGGAATTTAACCGCAAAAGGTATTTTTATGTGTACTACATCATCACGCACAGCCTTTTATCAACAAGTTAATTTGATGGAAACACATCTCTGGTGGGAAAATGCGCCAATTGGATGGAAACCTAGCTACTGGCTAAACTCCCAACAATGTTTTCTAAAAGTTGAATTTCTTTTTTGATGAGTAGAATTTGAAGCTCACTGGATTAAATGGATCCTGTTTCTGATTCTCTCTGATTCTCAAACAGTAAGCAATGAAAATAACCTCCTTTCTATGCTGCTTATGAATACAGGTAGTGTTCATAGTAATCCATGTCAAAGTTACCTTGCATTAGGGCCTGGCTATTACAGTAGTAGCATCTGGGTCATGGCGTCTGTCGGTCGGTCTGTTGGTCTGTCAGTCTGTCTGTCCTGTGGGCTGAACCAACTGGAGATGATTAGGGGGGTATTGAGCAGTTTAGGGATGAGCTGAGGATGAGATGATTGTCTCCGGCGTGCGGCCTGGGTGATAAAACGGCAGCTCATGTCCTGCTTAGCTGCCCCCCCCCCCCACCCCCCCATTCATGAGGGAGAGCTGAGTCAGGCGGCTAGGTCTTAAAACACCCCCTCCCCAGCCCCGCTCACACCACATCTCCCCATGTCCATTCCCTATAGCCCTAGGCAGAGATTATGACCTTGGCCTGGCCACCCATGTGGGGGGAAGGGGCTGTCCCTCTTTAGCCAACCACATGGGGACAGAGCAGGAAAAGTGTGCTAATTACCTGCGCTAACGATGTCCTTGCTTGTCACAGCTTAGCGTCGTTACTTTACCACGGGATAATAACCCCGTAGCCTCAGTGAGAAGTTCAGTGTGACATTATCACTATCACTTTGAGTGATAGGGAGCAGGTGGGGTCGGGGGTTTAGTTGCTAGCGGTTTGGATGAGTGCGGACCTGAGTTGCATGGTTAATCTGAGTTGGCCAGCCATCTGACTATGAACCTAAAGAAAGTAGACCTCTGAATTGAGTGGAATAAAATCATTAAAAAAATAAAATGTTATATTCTTTACAACTTGTCTGTATTTTGATTTAGGTCTAGGGCTTTGTCGGACTAGTGTCACCGAAAGTGTGATTTCACTGCACAACAAAAGCATCCTTGCTCGCTTAGCAACCAGACAGGATGTTTTGTCTGCGTTTCTTTGTGTTTTGAGTTTGACTCACTGATTCCCGCTAACTGAGAAGCGACTGGTAACCCAACGTGGTCAGAATCAGACAAAATAAATTCCCACGCATCTGTTCTGTACAATTTGAAAAACAGCTCGGAGCACGACAGGCTGGCATTATGGAGCTGGAGCCTATAATCATTGTGCTGTAAAAAGCCAGAATCCAGCAGCCGCAAACCATGTGGCCTCCTCGAAGTGGTGACCAATCAGAACCATCCCCAGCCACTCTGCCTTGTTACCATGACCCCCTCCGCTGTCTCTTCCTGGTTAGCAATAATGTTCCCTGAACATATAGGGAACCTTTTGGCTCCTGTTTTTATGTTAGACAACATTATAACTAGAATGTTCACTAAACTTGATTTGGACATATTCAGTTCAGACTTGATGCTCCAAATGTAAGGAAACCAGGAAAAACTATTTAATTTAATGAGATGTATCTGTATCTGATTTATCTGTCTTTTGTCTTTTGTACAATAAAGAAGACACTTGAGGATGTCACTCTTGAACAACAAATGTAACATTCAGTGAACCAAAACGTTTTATCCATTACCATATAGTGACAGAAATTTGTCTGGGATATTCCCTCAAATGCTAAGTGCCTGTTTTCCATCATTATGCTGCTTAATGCAATCAGAGTGCTAATCAGATTGAGTGGAAGTACCTCCATGACACAGTTGTGTGCATGGCTGCTGCTGCTGGGTTAGAGGGAGCTTGTGGGGAATTGGGCAGGCAGATCCAAGCCCTAACCTCTAAAACCCTCCTCCGGTTTGGACTCGACAAGAGGCTAGGGCAGTGGTGTCACTGTGGGAGAGAGAGGGCGTTTAGTTTCCTTTCAAATACTTTCAGCATCTAGGGATTACAGTTCAAAATTGGCAAGCTGGCAAATTTACAGAAATGTTGCTAAATGTGCATCGTCCCTGTAACCTAATAAGGTCCCTTTTCACTGAGTTCTGGAGTGCCCGATGGGCAGGGTTTGCACTTTTGGGACTATGCCATTGGTTCCATTGTGCCAGGCAAGCTCAGTCAAATGCAGCTAAAGTATTTGAAGTAAAACAAATACTATTTGAACTGAAGTCTGGCCATTAGCGAGTCAGACTGACTGAGGATCAGTATTCTAGTTGGCCTACTGCAGTTTACTTTACTTGAATGTTTAAAACAAATCCCTGTAGTGTATCTAGACAGACACTACAAACTGGTCTCTTCTCCCATCTGAATTTGGGGGAGCAATAATCTAATTTTAAGCTCTTAAGTGACTTAGTTGAGTTCTGAATGTGTTGAATAAAGCATCTTACTGTAAGGTTCAAGATGAGTAGGGATGAGACCAAAAGGTACTTGATGCAGGAGTCTGTCATTGGGGTGTCATACACACCTCAAAGCCAAGGGAAGAATAGACACACAGGTTGATTAGTCACTAATGAAGTCTGTTTGAATTCCAATTTCTACAGAATACAGAAAAACAGTGGGTATATGAGAGGTTCTTGGTTAGTATAGGTGTGTCTGTTTACGTGTGTGCGCACATGCGCACACACAACTGTATGTGGTGAATTTGTGTGTGTGGATATACGCTAGTGTTTGTTCGGTCTTTTGTATTCTATAGATCAGACTCTCCCTCGCCTGCATTACGTTTTGTTATATTTCATAATTCTGTAGTAGATTTTTCTTCTGAGGATGAAGTGTGTTGTGAGTTACCGGGTAGAATGGAGCTTTAATTAACTGTAGCTGTAGCTATGTACTGTTGTGTTGTGTCATGTTATGGTATGTTGTGTCTTTCCCTGTTGAAATGTGTGTGCTTTTTGCTATGTTGTGTTACTATGTGTGTGTGCCTTGTTGTGTCTTAATGTGTCATGTAAAGCAATGTGTGTTGCTAACCCCCTGACTCTGTCTGTGTTTCAGTCGTGACAGTGACCTCTCTACGATCATCTCCAACCTCCACCATACCAGACAGCACGGCATGCCCGAGAGCCAGCCCGCAACTGACCTCAGCACCAACACAGGACACACAGGTAGGATAGGTGTGTGTGTGTGTTTGTCTTTCTTTCTTTTTCTCTCCGTATTCCTCTTATTTGTAATGAGGTTACGTATTCTTCCATCAACATGAGTAATCACTATTATGCATTAGTCCCATAATTTGCTGTAATTTGTTTGATTGGGGAACTTACTGTAAGCTTATTACTGATTCCTGAAGGTGGCTCTCAAGTCAATTACTAAATGTAATTTATTTGCCTTTTCTATTGTACTCCAGGTTTTTCCTTAATCCCCTGTTTTAAATTACCATGAAATAAATAGCTTTGTTTGCCATTAATCCAGTTTCATGGGCGTAAAGGAACCATGGTGTGTGTTAAGCTAAAAGCCTTCTAACAGCTTACAGCCCCACAGTTAAACACCCCTAACACCAGCCACTGTTTCATTAGTTTTAGTTGTTCTGAATCAGATTGTTTTAGTTCAGAATTAGACTGTTTTAGTCCGGAATTAGACTGAATGTTGGATGTTTATGCTTTCAGGTAGATACGTGTGTAATATTTCTGGGTAACATGGCAAAAGTTAGACACGATAGAACTAATTGGTATTTAGATACTCTAGCTGTTGTGCGCTGGTGTATGGTCTCTTTTCTGTTTTTTGTCCTTACATATCATGCTTTGTGCATATGTGTGTGTGTGTGTTTTCTATTCAGTAGACATTCACTACCAATAATTGAGATAAGCCATGTCGGAAGTCCCCGACTGTTTTTGTGGTCAGAGGTGTCTGGAATGGCCTTGTGTTACTGCAAGGACATACTGTACTTTTACACAGACAATTATCCTTTTTTTTACCCAAACTATCTCTCAAATGTTGGTTAGGTGGGGACCTGCTGGTTTGTGGGTTAAAAATAGGTTTAGACCAGCTGACCCAAGAGTTTTGGTTTATAGAGTTTGTCACAAGAAATATCAAAAGGCTGGAGGTGAGTCACAGAATAAAAACGAAGTGCTAACACTTTACATCAATGTTACATTTGTAAAGGGCGGCAGGTAGCTTAGCGGTTAAGAGCGTTGGGCCAGTAACCAAGAGGTTGCTGGGTTGAATCTCTGAGCCGGCAAGGTGAAAAATCTGCTGTTCTGCCCTTGAGCAAAGCAGTTAACCTCCAACAACAACTGCTCCCTGGGTGCCTTGGATGTCGATTAAGGCAGCCCCCCGCACCTCTCTGATTCAGAGTTCTTGGGTTAAATGTGGAAGACACAGTTTGGTTAAATGCATTCAGTTGTGCAACTGACTAGGTATCCCCCTTACCTTAGTGTCAAATGTCCTTTATAAAGGTAATCTTAAAGGGGAAGTTCAGGATTTTACAACTTGAGGTTAGATGGTTCCTCACTCTGAAAGTAGTCTATGGGCCAGGAGAAACTGTAACCCATGGTTTGGTTTTCTTTAAAACAGCCAATACAAATTTCTCAAGTGTTACCAACAAAGCTGACCAACCACAGATTTAACCCATAAAGAAGTACCCTTACCATGGTCAAGTAGTACAGTGTTCGGAGAGCAGATCCTTACCCCCTGTGGACGGTCTGTTCCTCTTCATCCCATTAGTCAGAGGGTCATACATGTAGCATAATCATCCCCCAAATCCAACACCTCGTCCTCTATTGTATCTCTCTGAGCTCATCCTTCTAGTAGCTTAATTGCCCATACGGTTGCTAATACAGAGGGATGAGGCGGTGGAGGTGTGGGGGGACGAGGTCATGGAGGGGTGTCTGCCTATCCTCCCTCATTTGGGTGGGGCGCGGGGGTGTTAAAGTCTCAGACGCCCAGTGTTTTTAGACCCCAGTTTGGGACGGATTTCCCAAAAAGACCTGTCTAATCGGCTGCTAAGCTTAATGGGGAAATCAGCTCGTGAATGGTAATCTTAATGGAGAAAGACACAAAGGGATGAGGGTGGGGGGGGGGGGGGGGGGTAATGAGGGGTGAGGGAGGGAGATTTGAGCGCGGTGTGGCCAGCGCCGGAGGGGGCCTGGGCCTAAAATCTGTCAGTTTGAGCATTAAAGGGAGATTTAACAGGGTGGCTAAGCGGCTCGCTCCGTGTCTGTAAACAAGTCCAATCCCATCAGCCACTAGCTCACATTCTGTCTGCCAGTGAAATTAGAGAGACATACACACTCAATATACACAGTAGTGCATGTTCATACACACACACACACACACACACACACACTGGGACACATGGAGGTAATAGGACAGAGAATGAACACACCTGTATGGTAAGATCAGGTTTGGTGAGTGTACATGTATATGGTGAGTTTTTAAAAGGTTTAATACTTGACAAACTTTTGAATAGTTTTTTGACCATACTTGTCATGATGGGATAAACCGTTTCCATTGTTATACAGTGCATTCGGTAAAGTATTCAGACCCCTTTACTTTTTCCACATTTTGTTACGTTACAGCCTTATTCTAAAATCGATTAAATTGAATGTTTTCCTCATCAATCTACACACCTTACCCCATAATGACAAAGCGAAAACAGGTTTTAATAATACTAAATACCTTATATAAGTATTCAGACCCTTTGCTATGAGACTTGAATTTGAGCTCAGGTGCATCCTTTTTCCATTGATCATCCTTGAGATGTTTCTACAACTTGATTGGAGTCCACCTGTGGTAAATTCAATAGATTGGACATGATTTGGAAAGACACACACCTGTCTATATAAGATCCCACAGTTGACAGTGCATGTCAGAGCAAAAACCAAGCCATGAGGTCAAAGGAATTGTCCGTAGAGCTCCGAGACAGGATTGTGTCAGATCTGGGGAAGGGTACCATAAAATGTCTGCAGCATTGAAGGTCTCCAAGAACACAGTGGCCTCCATCATTCTTAAATGGAAGACGTTTGGAACCACCAAGACTCTTCCTAGAGCCACCAAGACTCTTCCAAACTGAGCAATCGGGGGAGAAGGGCCTTGGTCAGGGAGGTGACCAAGAACCCGATGGTCACTCTGACAGAGCTCCAGAGTTCCTCTATGGAGATGGGAGAACCTTCCAGAAGGACAAACATCTCTGCCGCATTCCACCAATCAGGCCTTTATGGTAGAGTGGCCAGACGGTAGCCACACCTCAGTAACAGGCACATGACAGCCCGCTTGGAGTTTACCAAAAGACACCTAAAGGACTCTCAGACCATGAGAAACAAGATTTTCTGGTCTGATGAAACCAAGATTGAACTCTTTGGTCTGAATGCCAAGCATCACATTTGGAGAAAACATGGCACCATCTCTACTGTGAAGCATGGAGATGGCAGAATCATAATGTGGGGATGTTTCTCAGCTGCAGGGACTGGGAGACTAGTCAGGATCGAGGGAAAGATGAACGGAGCAAAGTACAGAGAGATCCTTGATGAAAACCTGCTCCAGAGCACTCAAGACCTCAGACTGGGCAGAAGGTTCACCTTCCAACAGGACAACGACCCTAAGCACACAGCCAAGACAACACAGGAGTGGCTTCGGGACAAGTCTCTGAATGTCCTTCAGTGGCCCAGCCAGAGCCCGGACTTCAACCCGATCGAACATCTCTGGAGAGACCTGAAAATAGCTGTGCAGCAACTCTCCCCATCCAACCTGACAGAGCTTGAGAGGATCTGCAGAGAAGAATGGGAGAAACTCTCCAAATACAGGTGTGCCAAGCTTGTAGTGTCATACCCAAAGACTCAAGGCTGTAGTCGCTGTCAAAGGTGCTTCAAAAAGTACTGAGTAAAGGGTCTGAATACTTATGTAAATGTGATATTTCATTCATAAAAACTGTTTTTGCTTTGTCATTATGGGGTATTGTGTGTAGATTGATGAGGAAAAATAACAATTTAATCAATTTTAGAATAAGGCTAACTTAACAAAATGTGGAAAAAGTAAAGGGGTCTGAATACTTTCCGAATGCACTGTAGCTATCATGTCATGGTGTGAACTTTTGTTTCTATAGAAACTATTTCAATGGTGACTCTGGCTGTGGTGGGATTGCTCCAATACCAGTCTGGGTCCTAAATGGCACCTCTATTCCCTATATAGTGCACTACTTTTGACCTGGGCGTATATAGGGAATAGGGTGCAATTTGAGATGGACCCCCAAACAGACAGTACTTCTGACTCTAGTCCTGTACCTCTGTAATACTATAGTTTAGTACTAACTGCTCTCTGTTCTGTTGTAGCATCAATTATTTTATTCAGCTCACTCCACACTGTGTCTAACTTCCATAACAGGCCTGTGGTTAGAGAAACAGAGAGAAGGGGAGTAAAGAGGGAGAGAGAGACAGAGACAGAGACAGAGACAGAGACAGAGACAGAGACAGAGACAAAGAGAAGGGGATAGGTGGTGTAGTGGAAGAAAAGTTTGGAGAGGGAGAGAGAGGGAGACAGAGAGAGAGCGATGAATGAGTGTGGTGCCGGTATCAGGGGAGGGCAGACAGCGGGTGTGGCGGCAGTGTGTGAGTGAGTGTGTGTGTGTATGTGTGTGTGTGTGTGCGCGTGGGTCAGAGGAAAGGGAAGCAGGCTGCTGGGCCGTCTCCGCGCCGGAGTAGGCCGTTAATTAAATCTGAGGGACAGACAGGAGGGCTGACTCCCCCCTCTCCTCCCTTCCACCCTCCTCTGTCCGCCTCCCAGGCCTCTGGCTACTCTGGGACTGTGGGAGGGAGAGGGAGAGAGGGAGGGAGAGAGAGGTGAGGAGGATGGGAGAGAGCAGGGGCGCCGGGCTAAGCGTCTGGCTGCCTGTGGAAACTGTAAACCTTGGCTCTGCGGTCAGACCAGAAAGACTAATGGGCGGATAAGGTGTTTTTTGGATCACTTATTTTCTCTTCGCTCTCTCTCCGTTCAGTCTCCCAGACGTAGTTATAGAGGAGACGGCAATGTGTGTGTCGGGGAGGGGGGTGGGGGGTCATGGAGGGTGTGTGTATGTGTGTGTGCCAAATTTCTTTTTCACAGGGTATTATTTGCATCAAAGGGAGTGTTAGTACCATCTTGGTTCATCACACTCCTATTAAACCCCACACACCTTCCTTGATCGTCCATCATAGGTTGATGATGACCATGATACGATTCATTGGGATGAGTCTGGGGTACGGTGAGTGCTCAGATGGCTGATGAGACCAATCTGAGCCCGGAGCACTCTTTGGCACACTGGACATGGCATCTTGGTAGAGTCTCCTGAGAGACGGCACTGTTATTACTGGTCTTGCTCTGTTCTCTCTTCACCATGGCATTTTTGGTCCTGCTGGTTTCAGAGGTGGTAGCGCCATCCTGGATGAGATTCCGCTAGGTGGGACGATCCTGAGCAAGGCTTTCCCATGACCTTAAATCGATGTTAAAGCTCTTGAGGGAGGCCTTCAGGGTGTCTTTAAAGCAGTTTTTTTGGCCCACCTGGTGCTCGCTTCCCATTCTTCAGCTCTCAGAAGTAGATCTACTTAGGGAGACGGGTAGCAGGCATCCTGGTCACATGGCCCGCCCATCTGAGCTATGCTTTCATAAGCAGTGTGGGAATGTTCATCATGTCGGCATGGCTGAGGACTTCAGTGTCTGGGATTCTGTCCTGCCAAATGATCCTCAGGAGCATCCTCAAACAGTTCAGGTGAAAGTGATTAAGTGTCCTGGCATGGCGTTGGTAGACAGTCCAGGATTCGCAGCCATAAGTAAGGGTCGGTAATATAACTGCCTGGTGAACCATCAGTTTTGTTACCAGTTTGATGCCTGTTCTTTCCCACACCGAATCTCGCAGATGGCCAAAGGCTGCATTAGCCTTGGCGATCTTGATGTTTGTTTCATTGTCTATGTGAACAGCACAGGACATTGTGCTACCAAGGTAGGTGAATTTGTCCACAGCTGACAGTTTATTTATTGTATTTTTAAAAACTTTTTACCCCTTTTTCTCCCCAATTTCGTGATATCCAATTGGTAGTTACAGTCTTGTACCATTGCTGCAACTCCCGTACAGACTCGGGAGAGGCAAAGGTCGAGAGCCATGTGTCCTCCGAAACATGATCCTGCCAAGCCGCACTGCTTCTTGACACACTGCTCGCTTAACCCGGAAGCCAGCCGCACCAATGTGTCGGAGGAAACACCGTACAACTGGCGACCGAAGTCAGCTTGCAGGTGCCCGGCCCGCCACAAGGAGTCACTAGAGCGTGATGGGAAAAGGAAATCCCGTCCGGCCAAGCCCTCCCCTAACCCTGACGATTCTGGGCCAATTGTACGCTGCCTCATGGGTCCCCCGGTCACAGCCGGCTGGGACACAGCCTGTGCTCGAACCCGGGGCTGTAATGATGCCTCAAGTACTGCAATGCAGTGCCTTAGACCGCTGCGTAGCTGACAGTTTCTGACCTTTCACAGAGATGGTTGGGTCCATGTAAAGGATTACATGGGGCAGGTTGGGTACATAACTTTGGTCTTCTTTGTACTGATTGTGAGGCCGAAGTTGTTACAAGCAGATTGAAAGTTGTCCTTGAGGATCTGCAGATCAGCATGCGAGCCAGGAGCTAGTGCTCTGCAAACAAGAGGTCGCAGCAGAGGTGGGTAGAGTACTGTTCATTAGATTGTAATTTACTCAAGTAAAAGTAGCCCTCTAGAAACTACTCTAGTAAGAGTAAAGAATTATGCGGTCAGAAAACGACTTAAGTACTAGTTCCAAAATTTGTTTGGTAATTTTTTTACCCCTTATGGTAAATTGTGACAGCAAACAAAAAGAACAACAACTTGGTGCAATTGATTTGACATTCATTTATTATTTAAGCCTGCCAGCACCATCTTGCCGATGTCCTACAGCACAGGTAGTCTGTACAGTTTCAATTACGGTCTTATTCAAAGTTGACTTTTAACCACGTTTCCATCCACAGTTTTTATGCGAGTAAAGTCATACCTTATAAAAAAATATCACAACAGCTGTGATGGAAACAGGAAGTTTCGGTACAAGTTCATAAATGCCGACAGATAATTTGTTCGTTCAACATGGTGGGATCTTTTTGTGTCTGTAAAATAAATTATGCAAGAAATGGCGGTGTAAAAGCCTTTATGCGCAAATATTGATCTAATAACCATCATATCAAAGTAAACTTGAAGTCACGCGATGACATGGTGTGTGGTCCTCCCATTACGATTCGGGAAACCATTCAGTTTAAATTAGGCTACATATTAAATAAATTATGATGAACTTCACAGGGTGGTGAAAGTGCATGGAATGAGCTTGATGCTCCTTTCCAATAAATGTTGAGGTTCTTATTCTGGTGACATGATGATCGATGCTTGACAGCTGTTTTGACAAATAAAAACTTTCTTGCTCTTATCCATAATCTCATCATGTAGACTAGCCTACCCACACTGTATCTGCCAGCTGTAAGCTAGAGCGCACGTGCCAAGACCAGAGTAGGCACATTTGCTATTTAACGCAACAGTTTTCGTAACAAAACTATCGGTAGAGTTGAAATGCGATGGAAACTCATTGAACATTTGATTTTTATTTGGTACATGAAAACTTAATTGAAAAGTACATTCTGTGTGCATTACGTCATCACACACTGATTTGTATCTGCAACAAGTCAGTTTGGTGGAAACACACCACTGGTGGGAAAATCTGCATATTTTTTTAATGCACATTTTAGAATATTTGGATGAAAATCGGTCACAAATTGGATGGAAACCTAGCTACTGTGCTCAATTTCATAAAAAAGTAAACGGTACTTGAGACATTGGAATAATTTCACAATTTCAATAGCATTAATAAACATGTATTTCACAATATAATTTCAAGTACATGTGATGGTGAATGCGTAGCCTACTAAAAAGGTTAACACCAAGTGTGATGTTTCACTTTTTACTCAGGGATCAGGGAAGTGTTACAACAGTCAAACAATCAATATCGACATTTCAGTATCAATCATGTTACTAGTATGCAAATCAGACATTTCCGCATGGAATTAAATCAAGGTAGGTATTCAGGAAAGAATCATGTAAGTAATAAATAATCAAACAGTGCAGATATCAATTGCCATAGTCATCTCAATCATATTTTTCCTGCCAAGGTAGGATATACCCTCCATCCTCCTCTTCTTACAAACCTCTCCTTTCCTCTTTGAAGGGTATTTTATTTCCTTGGCTGACCCATTATCCTACCCCTCGGGTTGTGCCGCTAATTTATTTATAGTAGCAAATGGCACAAAAAGCTTACTGAGATGTTTCACTATATGACAGATGTGCTTATAGGCCTAAAAACAGAATATTAGACACACACACACACACCACACATTGAGAGAGAGCAATGGAGTGGGAGGATTCTGCACTCAGCTGTCTAATTGATCTAGCTCAGGGTTTCCCAAACTCGGTCCTGGGCCCCTCCCCGGGAGCACATTTTGGTTTTTGCCCTAGCACAATACAGCTGATACAAATAACCAATTCATCATCAAGCTTTGATTATTTGAATCAGCTGTGTAGTGCTTGTGCAAAAACCAAAACGTGCACCCGGGGGTTTAGTTAGCTAGCTAGCTACATGACATGGTTGACACTGTAGCTAGCTTAGCCAGCTTATCTAGAGGCAACCTAATATGATAGCTAGCTAGTTAGCTATTGCCACACACATCTGATTTATCTGTTCACTCTTTGTGCAAATGACAAGGTGGCTAGTTAACTTAGACCAAAAAGCAGAGGTCATATGGGTAGCTAAAAACTGGACAGTAAACATTCTGTCAGATTCTGGGTTAGCCAAAGCAAACTAGCTAGCTAGTTAGCTAGCTACCTAGCCATTTCATTTGCACTCACCCTCAAAACACAATTTCAACAGCAAAATTATATCAGAGAAATACTTATCTTACTCCAGAAATATATAATATTACAAAGGCAGAAGGTAATTATAGTGCAACTTACCTCTGATCGTGTTTGGCTAAGAACCCACAAACAAAAATGTCCTTAGGAGTGAAGATGTGCGCTTCACTTCAAGAGCCACTTCAAGAGCCATGGTGGAGATGCTGGGTTTGACAGACAACTTTGAAAGCCAATGGACTAAGAGTTTTGATGACAAGCTATTTTGAATACATTTAATTGGTCAAGGGGTCATGAATCGTTCTTACAGACGTAAAGGGGGAACCAATAGTACCGATTCATTTTAAAAAATCACTACATTTGGAGTGACAAGGTTTTCATCTGACAGCGAAGATATAATAATATAAAGCTATGTACCTGAAGTGATTTGGTAAAATGTAACAGAGTAAAAAGTAAATTACGTCCTTCAGAAATTAATTGAATAAGAGCACAAGTACAGCCCACAGATAGTAACTAGAAAAGTACTAGTGTACTTAAGTACATCTAACGCGTTACTTGTAGCACGTTACTACCCACCTCTGGGTCGCGGACAGTCACCTACTCAACCTTTGTTTTGGCATGCATCCTCCTCAGGTTGAACAGCCCCCCATCAAAGCGGTAGTTGGAGCGGATCCCAGTGTGGTCATTTGGGAAGGCATCTTGCACCATGGCGGAGAATATCATGCTGAACAGGGTTGGTGCTAGAACTATGACTGGAACCTGCTCAGATGACTCTTCGTGATCTTGCACACTAGCCATCATGCCATCATGGAACTCATGCACCATTGTGATGAGTCTTTCTGGGCATCCAAACTTTGACACGCACACACACACCCTGATCACTGATATACAGTGCGTGAACCCAGCCCTCTCCTATAAATTAATGGGTTATTGTAGCTTAATTTTTTCCTCTTCAATCATCTCACTCCCTAATCTCTATCCATCTCTCCCTTTGCCT